AAAAAAAAAAAAAAAAAAAAAAAAAAAAAAAAAAAAAAAAAAAAAAAAAAAAAAAAAAAAAAAAAAAAAAAAAAATCTCCCGAGCCTGTCTCACTGGCAAACAAGCAGAGACACCCAAAGCGTGTCGCCTGAGATCCTGAAATTCGGCTTGCTTTGCGTACCAGTCGATCCGCCGTCGACCGTACCAAATAAAGGATGAAGAGGGGAGGCAAAGGAAGACAGAGAATCGGTAGGAGGCGACGATGCACGAGAGAGGGTCCTCCGTCTCCTCGGTCGCCATTTACCCCTGGGATGACGTCACACTGCCTCGCAGGTCCAACAGTGAAAAACGATCCAGTGCGATTTGACGTCGAAGACAGAGAAAAAAAATGCAGCCGAGCGTATAACACGAGAATGACCTATCCGGAATGCGCAATCGAAGAGGGTCGATTGATTGGCCATTTAGAATTTTTGTCTCTGATCCGGAGTGCATCGTGGAGTGTTCGGAGTATCGACTGTGCTTGATAACGGGCGAAATTAAATCCTTATAAAGTTTTGCCCAGAGAGACCCGTAAACGCGAACATTAAGTCGCCCAAGTGGCGTAAGTCGCGCATTAGCAATTTAACGGGGACTGCCTACCGGGACGATGCAAATCCAGCTAAGTAAGTAGAGGGAACAAGTAGTATTAAGTAGAGTAGGTGGGTGGGTAGTCGGACATACGAATTCGAGGGGTATAGCGAAGCTAGGGGCGGTATGAGCCAACCAGTGCCAAAAGGAGGTGTAACGACCCCGATGTGGGTAGGAAGGAGAGAAAAGCCCCGAAAAAAAAGGAAGGAAGAAGTGAGGGTGAGGTTATACGCGGTTATCCTATGAGGAAGGGGTGGCTTGGGAAAGGGGTAGGGAGTCCAGGTGGTGGATAGGCGAGGAAGGCGCTGGGGCTGAGATGGAGGTGGCGGAGGAGGCGAGGGGCAAGCATAACAGAGCCCAAGCAACGTACTACCCGCGATCCGCATTGCATCCGAGCGCCAAACTACCCCCGTTCGAGCGTGCGGCAGAAAGTGGAACTACTCGTAGCCCAAGAGCCACAGTTGGTTGCGGGCTCTCGCCCTCAGAGGACATCGGGAACCCCGTCACTTTAACGAGTCCAACTCGTCCTCGTAAACATTTTAGTTTTTCGTTTCTCCGTGGTCACGCGGGCTAGCGACACTTCCGGTTCCCTCCATCGAATCAGCAAAGAAACGACCCCCGTCCAAGGCGACCGGTACCTGAACTCGCTCTGACGTCATTCCGTCTATCCCGCGTTTTGGCTCCCTCGACTCTTTCCTTGCTTTCATCTCTGTCATCCAGAGGAGATCATCCTACCCCGGGGTTCACCTCGTCATCCTCGTCGCTCGATCTTCCATCCCCTTCATCTCATCATCGAAGACAACCCCGGACGGGTCAGTCCCAAAAATACCCAGGGGACACGACCGTCGCTCGGATCCCTTTTATCCCTTGACACTCAAAATCGTCCCGAGGGTCCGATTCCTTCCTGCCTTCCGCTTAGTCGCAACCGGATGACGCGTTCTCAGCGTCAGAGACAGGAGCCAGTGTCGCGAGTAGGAAACAAAGAGACCAGAGGCCGAAGCTCGGCGCTGCCGGTGCCACGGACGGATGGTTAATCGCAACTGGCATAAGCGCCGAGGTTAGCGGATCGTTAAAGTGGCGGCGGTACACGCGGGCCCGACGTACCGGGTGTCTCGAGAGAACGCGGAGCTGACCTCGTAACGTCTAATCTAATGTCTAAGGTCGCACGATTATATCTCGTGAGACATCTAACTTCTCTGTGATCACCTAATACACTTAAGCAATACTAAACGGAAGCAATCGTAAAGTGCATTTAACGGCCGGGTCTAAGCAGTCGGCACTTTTCCAAACGCGCCAGTTCGTACTCACGTAGGTACGGGTAGAGGCTGTCTATATTTCTGTAGACAAGTATACGTGCGCGGCCCTCGTGAGGTAATGCGCGCGTAAAGAAGAAAAAGGACCACGTGAGGTCGCGCGAGTTGAGCCAAGTGCAGGTAACAATGGAACAGTGCACGATCGTGAAAGGAGTGAAGCGTTAGGGAAAGAAAAAGTAAAAAGAACAAAGAAAAAAGAAAAGGGTATCGTCGAGTCTTCTGTTAGATGAGACAACAGTCAGCCGCAAGTCCTGACGACCAAGAGACACGACGACTTCCGGTCCTCGACGCGGTGTCCCTGGCTGATACGTGGAGAATGCAAATAGCGTCAACGAGAAGTCCCGAAAGATGTTTGGAGTGCGACCTCTTCAGGAAGGTCCTCAGGTGAGAGGCCGATAAGGGAAGCGGGAGGCGAAGCACGTAGAAGCCGGAAGAGATCAGGAAGCTAGCTCCAGCCACACGAGAAGGACGTAGGCGCGCGAGGTTCGTTGGCGTGAGCTCTTCAGGACTCTGGACCAGGTGATGATGAATCGATCGGAGGTCGTCGTCGTCGGAGTTGGCCCTTGGAGGCTTTCAAAAGAGACGAGGAAGTTAGGTGGTAACCAGATAAATGATACGGCAGGGGATGCTGAGGTCCATCCGATGTGCCATAGGCTCCAGAGTAAAGAAATTATTGATAAAGGTATCGTCAACATATAATACGACAAGACGCAAATGCTCGTCAGATGAAAAGTTCGGAAACCACGAACAGTTGGTTGCGTCGTGCATTTCGTCCAAGGATGAACCGTGGGGAGCAAGAGACTTTGTTCCGGCAGAGCCGGCAGCTCACGCAGATAGTACCGTCTAGGGATGATCTGGTGCTCAGTGTACTAAAGGCACCGATCAGTCAGCAGCAGCAGCAGCAGCAGCAACACCGTCATCAGCAACAGCTGCAGCAGCAACATCATCACGCGCAGCAAGCTCAACGCCAGCAGCAGCAACATCATCATCATCACATGCACCATGTCAACTGTCAGGTTCTTCATAATCACAAGAGATGCAGTCATGCAGGTATCAGGATAAGCGCATTGCTCGTTGTGACGTGATATCATCCCGTGAGCACGGATTACAAGCTAATCTGGGCTGAGCCGCGTGTCATGAGGTTGGGCGTCGATGATTCAGGTGGAAACTAGGGTCCCGGGTTTAGTGCAGAGAAAGAAAAATAAAAATAATACCAACCCCGCGTAAAGATTGTTAGCCCAAGAATCAGCTGGTCAGATACAAATGATGACGATACTTGATGTAACAGTCCCTTTAAGAAAGCGTCGAATCACATAGAACATTGATCGTCAAATTCGATCCGACCCCCGAACGAACTACTCGGATCTAAACGTGAGGAACCTGTGAAGGATAGCGGTTCTACCTATCATTTGACCCATATTTCACATTTTCCGGGTCCATCCCTAAGTCACTCTTAAGACTTCCCTCTCAGCCGTCCTTTGGCAAAGGCTACAAGAGGCCCGGCTTATTCGTTTCCCCCAATATATATTAACCCTCGCACGCGCAACCCTTTATATACCTTGGATCTGCTGAAATATTAAACGGTGGGTATTACCTCGACGTTAGAGCGAAACGAAGAAAGACCGAGTCCCGAAAGTAATTATAAAATACAGTTGCCGGGCAGATAGAGCTTCCTGCCGAGTCAAATTATCCTTCTGGCCGAGGCAAGGGAAGAGCCAGTGGCCTGTAGCTGAATATTTTACTCAAATTTAATCGGCCAGGTGGGCCACCCCTCTTCTCACCTCCCTACCACGGCCTCGTCCTCCACTTCTCATCCCGCCACATTGAACTGGTCATTGAAGTTCTTAACAATACCCGTAATGGACACAATTTATTGGCACGGCGTCTCCCGACCCAGTCCAAAGATAGGTAGGTACCAAGTGCTTGTGCACGGTTGAGAGACCACCTGACGTAGCGACCCGCGACATTTCCATCGTCTTCATGGTACGTCAACGTTTAGCCGACTGAGACACTTCACCAAGTCACGACCCAGCCACCTGTCCAGCGACGCCCACGTCGTGACGGAGGCGACGCCTCCGTTAATTCGCGATCCCGACGTCATCGATAAGAACCGTCACCGCGTTCTGGAAACTCTGTGACGTCGTAGAAACTCTTGTCCCAACCCGTCCCAACCCCGACCAAGTCGCGCTGCAAAGTTTCTCAATCTTCGTCCTCGTCTTTCCGTGATCTTGCACGAGGACCAGGTCCAAGTTCGAGAACGTGTACGACGTGACAGAGAAATTACTACGGCGAAGCAGAGTGACCGGACGTTAGCAATGTCGATGAGTGCATGAGGATGACCGACGATGCCCCATAGGTCAAGCTTACGGAAAAGACGGGGTCCGAGCCAAAGAGCCGACGTCCTCGTCGGCGTCGGAGAAGAGGTATAGCGGAGCGGCGGTTGCGGCGTACGCGGCCCTTCAGGGTAGCGAGGACGAGCTCGTGGCCGAGGCCGAGGACGACGACGATGATGATGACGAGGCCGAGGAGGACGCGGCCCTGAAAGCTGGTGGCAGCGAGACCGAGGACACGGAAAACGGTGGTACCTTGGAAGAGACTCCGGCCTCGACCTCGCCCTCGCCCTCGACCACCGCTCGACGCTTCACCTTCCTCCGTCGCTTCCGTTCGCCGCGCTTCGGCGAGGCGCATCACAAGCGCGTCCCAACCCCAATCAAGAGGAAGCATCGCCGAAAAAAGAGCGAGGACGACATCATCGACAATCAGGTCGATGGAATCGAGGAGGAGCCACCAAGTCCGGAACAACGTGGCGTTCCCGATCCGTACTACCCGATCTACCTACCCATAGATCAGGCCTTCAAGGCCAAGTACGTGTTCCATCACAAGAAGGGCAAGACCTTCCAGGAGAGGCTCTACGTCTTCCTGGAACATCCGGGCGGTTGGCTCTGCTTCATCTATCACTGTACCGTGTAAGTAGTATCTATTCCCAGACCCGGTCCCCCTACCGATGAACCAATCAGGGTCGACCTGGTTATCGATAAAATTACCGAACCTGATGCGGAACAGTCAAATGAATGACGTACCCAAATATGCAGAGATTCCTTTAACCGTGTCAAACTCACCACCGCCCAACCGAATCAGTAGATCAGGTACAACCAGGACTTCACCGTACCGGAAGTAAAGGAACGTCACTAAAGACACGTGATCCACGTGTAAATAATCCGCAAACTGGATCAAGGAACTGCAACGTCCCCATCGATTGACCTAATCATCCTGAATCCTGATCCTTTGGTATCAACGATACGTTTAACAGGTCGTTCCAAAACTCGCGAAGAAAACCCGGAAGTACCCCGCGCTTAACCACCCTCAAGATGGCGTGTCGAGTCACCATAATTTCGACGTATCCAAAGAGCCCACCCGTCCGGTAGCATGATCCTACCAGCGGGGTCATCTTGATCGACCTAGACCAGACGTAATCCCTTCGCCCGGTTCGAATCCGAGAAACGACGTCGTCATATATATCCCACGAGTCTCCCAACGGAGATATCGAATTCATCCGCGAGAGGGACACGCGGTACATTAATCATTGACTAAAGATTATCAAATGCGCTTATCACAGGTACAGTCCGTACGAGAATTATGCCTGGACGAGCATGACGATAACACACAAAAAATAATATCAACGACGTTACTCGATCCAACTGATCGTCATGCTGAACGTCATGAAGTGGGGAAGAAATTCATCAAGACGATGCGTCACCTAAAGAGCCACGTGTCCCGCAAAACAGTCAATTTTACCGATAGTCATGGAGTCTTGATCAATTGAAAAGCAACCTCATCAGGTCCAGATCGGATGCTTGCCTACTCTGGCGGGGTCTTATCCTCATCCATTTGCTGTTTCAGGTTCATGGTGGTACTGGTGTGCCTGATATTTAGTGTACTCTCAACGATAGACCAATACAGTAACTTCGCGAACGAGACTCTCTTCTGGATGGTGAGTAGAGTTCAATGATCAATAAATCACCGATACGATCAATCAACCGATTACGGGATCCAACAAAGGGCGCGACCTGTTACGTATATTGGAGTATCGAAGTCATATGACAAACAAATGTAGATACATCGCCCGGAAGTGCCCGACTCCCCTCAGCGCAGACGAACGCGTATCTCTCGTAATGCCAAAAAGCTCTTCCCCTCTCGCGCCGACCCATCATATCCCGGAACTTAAGCCCAGACAGTTAGGATGAGCGGCTTCTAATGTCGCGCAGCTTGATGCGGCTATTTCAGGGTGGAAGCTTAAAGCTTTAATGCCCATCCACAAACTATACTCGAATACGAGCACCCCTTGTATTTTCCTAGTCACTACCGGGTGCTGCTGTCGTCGCCTACTGTCTTAGCCATTACCAGTGACGGCACTGGTAACAATCATGCCCGGGGTTCACAGTGAGGACGTCCCTGAGATTCAAAGAGGCGATTAAACTCTTCAAAATGAAAGTGGTACAGTCGCGTATCGTCATTTCCGGGGTATGCAGAAATTATGGAAAAAAAAAAAAAAAAAAAAAAAAAAAAAAAAAAAAAAAAAAAA